GCAGATAGGCGCTCTGGGTCACGTCCAAGCATCATCTGTCCGTGGGTGCAGCGGTTACATACGTGGGAGCCTCATGAATTGGTGTGTCCACTCAACCTCATTTCTAGTCAGCATTTCAAGCTATTTCTGCTTAGCGTTTAATGGTCATTTAAACATGATGTGATTGGGGCGCCTGGGTGGCTCAGTCTGTTGAGCATCCAACTTTGGCTCAGGTCACGATCTCACAGTTCATGAGTTCGAGCCCCACGTCGGGCTCTGTGCCGACAGCTCGGAGCCTGGAGCCTGCTTCGGATTCTGTCTCCCTCTCTCTCTGCCCCTCCCCTGCTCACGGCCTGTCTCTCTCCCTCTCAAAAATAAATAAACATTAAAAAATTAAAAAAAAAAAATGATGTGATTTGCTCACCTTCTAGTTTCATTTCCATAATGGCCCTCAAACTCATAATATATTTCCATCAGTATACTTTTGGCAAATATATGTGATTCATTTGTTAGGGAAAGCTTAGACCTCAAAAGCGTTTTGTCACAAGGAGAGGTCCTTGTTTTAAAAACATTTAATGACATCTGCATTGGATTCTCCATGCTTTCCATTTCCTTAGTTTTTAAGAAGTTTTAAAATGTGTGTTTCAGTATCAAAATGCGATGTTGAAAATGTTGGGTGTAACATTCTTTTATTTCACTTTCTGTTCTGCTTATTTACAAAAATGAGTTTTCACATGTAAAACTATTGTAGACTGTGTCGATGTTTACTTGTAATTTGGCAGATTTTCTGGCCGAGAGGATAAATAATAGTAGTCTGCATATATTACGATGTTTAGTAAGAAATACATCTGTAATAATGCTGTCTTACATTACGCTACGGTTTTTACCTTACTTCAAAAATTTTTATGCATTTTTGGTTGTGAAAAATAACATAAGGTTTATCGTCTTAACCATTTTTAAGTGTATAGGTTACTCGTGTTAAGTACATTTACGTTGTTTGGAACAGATCTCTAGAACATTTTCATCTTCCCAAACTGAAACTCTATACCCAGTAAACAACAACCTATCCCCCTTTCCTGCTCCCTTCGGCCCCTGGTAATCACTGTTTATGTGAATTTGATTACATACCTAATCTGAGTGGAATCATGTAGTATTTCTCCTTTTGTGACTGGTTTGTTTCACTTAACATAACGTCCTTAAGATTCATCCGTGTTCTAGGATGGGACTGGGACAGGATTTCCTTCCTCCCATCCTTTTTTTTTTTTTTTTTTTTTTAAATTAGAGCAGGTCTGTTCTTTTTAAAACAAAACTTTTTTAAGTTTATTCATTTGTTTTGAAAGAGATGGAGACAGCATGAGTGGGGGCAGGGCAGAGAGAGAGAGGGTGGGACAGAATCCCCAGCGTGCTGCCAGCACAGAGCCTGATGTGGGGCTCGAACTCACGAAACCGTGAGATCAGATCGTGACCTCAGCCGAAACCAAGAGCCAGATGCTTAACTGACTGAGCCGCCCAGGCGCCCCCAGGATTTCCTTCGTTTTCAAGGCTGGATAATATTCCATTATATGGCTAGGGCTCATTTTGTTTACCCCTCCATTTGCCCCGTGGATATTTGGACATGCACCTTTTGGCTGTTGTGAATAGTGATGCTAGGAGTAAGGGTGCAAATATCTCACCTACACCCTGCCTTCCGTTCTCTTGCAATCAACCCAGGAGTGGAATTGCTGGATCAGATGGCCGTTGTGTTTTTCGTGTTTTGAGGAACCTCCTTACTGATCTCCGTAGCACCATCTCACTTTCCCACCAACGGTGCACAGCTCTTCCAATTCCCCTCCGAAGCCTCCCCACACTCGATGGTTTCTGTGTTGCTTTGGTTTGCTTTTCGGTAGCCGTCCTGATGGGTGTGAAGTGATACTTCATTGTGGTTTTGAAGTGCATTTTCCTGATGAGGCGTGATGTTGGCTGTAGCCCTCTTTTCATGTGCTTATTGGCCATTTGTATACCATCTTTGCAGAAATGTCTCTTCAAGTCCTTTGCCCATCTTTTAATCAGGTTATTTGATTTTTGTTGTTGAGTGAATATCCTAGACATCAACTCCTTACCAAATACAGGATTTGCAAAGATTTTCTCCCCTAGTGCAGGTTCATTTTTCACTCCGTTGATTGTCGATTGTATCCTTGTGTTTTTTTTAATCCTGGAAAAGAAGATTATTATTTTATTGTCATTTAAAACTTTTTTTTTGATATGATCTACTTGGTTTTAATCAGTTTATTGAGGTATAATTGACAATTAAAAAGCTGTACATATTTAATGTATAAACTTGATGAGTTTGGGGATAAGTATACATTGATTGTGTCCTTTCATGCAGAAAATTTCACGTAGCCCAGGTTATCAGTTTTTGCTTTTGTTGCCTATTTCACATATGCCTTTTGATTGCATTTTGACGTCACATCCAAGAAATCATTGCCAAATTCAGAGTCATGAAGTTTTTCTCCTGTTTTCTTTTAGGAGTTTTATAGTTTTGGGTCTTATGTTTAGGTTTTTAATTCATTTTGAATTAGTTTTTGTATAGGGTGTTAGATAAGGTTCCAACTTTTGCATGTGGATATCCAGTTTTCCCAGCACCATTTGTTGAAGACCTGTCTCCGTTTAGGTGGCCTTGGTACTCTTGCTGAAGATCATTTGACCCTATATGTGAGAGTTTATTTCTGGGCTGTCTTGTTCCATTGGTCTACGTGTCTTGTCTTTGTACCAGTATTGATTATTGTAGCTGTAATTGGCTATTGAACTGTATTGTATGTGGTACGCTGTGTTGTGTATTGCACTCTATTGATTATTATAGCTTTGTAATATGTTTCAGTATCAGGAAGTGTTACTCCTCCACCTTTGTTCTTTGACCATTGCTTTATGCATCACAAAATAAATTTTTAAATAAAACCAGGTGGGAAGTCACCATATTACAATATGGACATATTTTCATAGTCAAATGAAAATGGAAGGTTAGGCAAATACTGAATGTACCTTAGCATTTGAGGTAATTTATCTGCTTTTAAAGAAAAATTTTGCAGGGGCGCCTGGGTGGCTCAGTCGGTTGAGCATCCAACTTCGGCTCAGGTCATGATCTCGCGGTTCGTGGGTCCGAGCCCCGCGTCGGGCTCTGTGCTGACAGCTCAGAGCCTGGAGCCTGTTTCAGATTCTGTGTCTCCCTCTCTCTGACCCTCCCCCGTTCATGCTCTGTCTGTCTCTGTCTCAAAAATAAATAAACGTTAAAAAAAATTTTTTTTAAGAAAAATTTTGCTTCAACCATAAATCATACAGATTTGCTACTACAATATCCAATTTCATAAAATAATTTCATCTGTGTTGCTCTTTATAAACTTGATCTGCAAATTGATTCTCCAAATCACTATTTTGTCATAGAAAAAAATATATTTTGAAATACATTTACAACTAATCACTGTTTTCTTAAAATTTTCAAATGTTAATTTGTTTTTTGAGAGAAAGAGACAGAGTGTGAGTGAGGGAGGGGCAGAGAGAGAGGGACACAGAATCCGAAGCCGGCTCCAGGCTCCGGGCTGTTGGCACAGAGCCCTACGTGGGGCTCGAACTCACGGAGTGTGAGATCATGACCCGAGCCCAAGTTGGCTGCTTAACCGACTGAGCCACCCAGGCACCCCTAAATAATCACTGTTAATATTTGGTATATAATATGCTTCCACATTTTTTCAGTGCAAATACATGTATGTAAATTATTTTAGCTGCTTTGGTAAAAAAAAAAAAAAAATCTGAAAGGATCTATACCAGAGTGTGTGTTCGTACAAAATAGAATTATGTTATTCTCCTTTCTTTTTTTCACCTACTGATATTTCATGAGTTAAAAAAAAATATGTATACTAGATCTACGTCGTATTCCATTGCCTCGGGACTACCGTGGCTAGTCGTATCGACTGTTATGTACTGAAAGCGTGCCTAACTGGGTTTTTTTCTTTTAGAAATAATAACACGATTGCATTGTTGTAAATACCGCGTTACCCACTTGGTTGTTTCTTTAGGAAAAATTTCAAAAAAATGAACCTCCTGGTTAAAGGATGTATAAACTATTTTATTGGGTTCTGATGGCGTATCGCTGAACTGCCCTTCTACAAGTGGCCTTTATGACGCCACTGGCATCCAGACATGTGCTGTTTTGTCTGTACTCACTAGTGTTCTGAGTAAAAATGGTACATTTTCACTGCAGTGTGCATTTACTTGATTAGTTTCACAGGGTCTAGCATTTCAGTGTTAAATTTTTTTAACATTTAATTGCATCACGCTTTTTAGTTTTCACTGAAAGTTTTAAATTATGAAATGTTCTTCTTTTTGGGAGTTAATGTTCTTTGCCTGTTTCTATTACAGACTGAAATTACAGACAATGCTATGATTAGCACTATTTTTCAGGGTTATTTTGCCCGTTAACTATGTTGATGGTGCTTTATTTCTTTTTGCTCTTCAGCAGTATTGTGTGTGTGTGTGTGCGCGCGCGCGCGTTTGTGTATGTGTGTGTGGTAAAAGCTATTATCTCTTCCATTCCAGCTCCTGGGTTTCTTGTCATGCCTACAAAAATAACCCTGTATGAAAGTTACATAAGTATCTCCCTACATTTTTCCATTGCATTTATGGTTTGCTTGGCTCTTTGGGGGCTCTGAATTTCGGGTGTTTAAAAACTAGCACTTGATTTACGAGGGGTTTTGTCATTTAAGTTACAATAGAATTGCAAAAGACCACTGATTTCCTATTCCCTCACCAGCACGACCATCTCAATATAGAGGGGCTGAGTAGAATTTACAATGTCTAGTGGAATTGATATTTCTTAAATGTTCACCGCATCTAAGGATGTGTCTGTCTAAGATACTGCTATGTTTAAGCCTTTGAATTGCTTTTTTAAAAAAGTAGAACTGGTAATTTGTAAATTATCATGAATCTGTTAGCTGCAACTTGGAGCTTAGAAGGAAGACCTAATGAGGATTATTTTCTTTCTCTTCCAGATTTTATAGGAAGACAAAACTCGTCGGTTTTCAAGACATGGAGTGTGTACCTTGCGGGGACCCCCCACCCCCTTACGAGCCACACTGTGAGTGAACTCCAAAGGCTTTTAGAAACCTTTCTACGGTTAGCAAATGGAGCACAGTCTTTGTCTACAGTGGGGCTTATAATGCGCATTCTTTTGTCAAGCCTCCAGCAAGATATAAAGTCCTTTTGTTGTGTGCCCCAGTCAGCCAACTGTGTCCCTTGGTTTGACTCTCAGAGGGAAATACAGACACTTTGCTGCCTCTTGTTTCATTCTAACTCTTATCTTCATTCTGGATATGGAACTCGGGCAACTCCAATTAACTAGGTGATCCAAATCCTAATGCGTAAGGTCTTTGCCTTGGCCCCACGAATTCCTGTGTTTTCCCTTCTTAGTCCCCAGGCACTGTTATGTGGCCACTTCCCTGCCTTTCCAGAGACATTCCTGTCCATGATTCACCACCCTCATTAATATATCATTAAGTTAAATACTGGCTCCTTTCATTCACTCCTTCATTTTTCTCATTTCACAGATAAATAGAAAACCCATTGCATGGCAGAAATACAACTATGAATGAGAAATTTTTGCCTTTTCTTCTCTGTATTAACATTGATCTTTTTCTGTCATATTTTCCCCTTTGATATAAAAAATATTTGTTAGAAGTTCTCAGTTTGCATTGATTTTGAATAGGAAGGAGAGTGGCTCCTGGCTTTTCTTAATCCCACATACAGATCTGGCCAGTGGAAACTCACAGGTGATGGGCCAGGAAAGAAATCAGCAGATGGGCTCCCCCCGGGGCAGGCGGGCTCAAGGCTTGTCTTTGCTGAGCAGGGCTCCAGTGGGTTGTGCTTCTGTGTCCAGGAGGGAGAGGGTGGGAGGTGTTGATCCTGTGTATAGGTCGCTCATGCCTTTCTGGGGAGCGTTGGTAATAGACATGTATATATTTGGGGTCTCTTTGATGTGTTCTTGCTTCTTCTGTGACAAAAGCACCCTCTGAACTAACTGAAAGTGACTGTATTACTGATAAGGCCACATAGTGCTTGTGTTTTCAAGAATGTCACGTAATTTGCAATCCATATTATTATGTCCTTTACCGAAATGCATTACTTTCTATTCTTTGTTTAATGTAGTAGAAAGGCAAAAAAAAAAGGGGGGGAGGGGATTCTGAGCTTTACAGAAATGCATATTGGCCCTGTTTTTATAATATGCAAACATTGGCCAAATAATTCATTGCATTTAACAAATGCAGTTTTGACTGTTATGTTTCAGCCACAATAGGGAAACCGTTGTTTTCCTTAACTTTCCCGCTGCCCTATCACCAGTCTAAATTTATCGATGAGGACACCAGGTCCAGAAAGAAGAATAATTTTCCATGGTTGGCTGGGAAACAGTGGAGACACAATTCAGACCCTCATCTGTCTGTCTAATGTCAAACGTCGTGTCCTTACCACCACACTCTGCTGTCTCCCTAAGAAAAACAAACATGTAATCTACGACATGTTGACTTTTTGTTTGCTTTAATATTCATCATTTAAACCAAAACTCTAAAAACCTAATGTAGAGGAGATGCTTTATGCTACACAGCCCGTAAAAGGACATGTCCTCTTGCCAATTAAAACAGGGCGGCGACCTGGTCATGCCTGTGGGTCAGCTCAGCCATCATTTTGCCCAGAAGGCAAATTAAGATCATGTATTTCATCCCAAAGTACCATTAAAAGATTTAGTAAAGTAACTGCTATTGCCCAGTTTAGAGTTGGAAAGTACTTGGGTTATTTTTTCTCTTTAATTTACTCGGTTTAAATTTAATATGATCTGGTCATAAGTCTGAGGCATTGGAATTTTTTGCCTTTGGGGATCTGGCTAAGCTCGGACATCATAAATTAGACTTGCAACATAGTTTTCACATTTAACTTCTAATGTGTTGTAAAGTCCTGAGTAAGTTACAATTTGAAGAGAAAGTTAACTGGTTTAATGTATGGGTACAGATCTATTCCTCCATAAATGCCACTTTTTAGAAAGCAAGGAAAAACAAGTTATTTTTCTAAGTGGGAAATGCCGTGTGCCAGGTAATAGCCTTCCAAATCATGAAACAATGGTCTGGTGGTCTTGAGTGAGTGTTAATCCTTATCTCTGTAAAGGAAGGTTTGCTGCCTTTGGCACAGTTCTTGGGAATAATTCCAGGGCGCACACAACTAATCTCCTCAAAAGAGATCTTGAAGTCTTTTGGGGGGTTTCTGTAAGGAACCTTATGTTTTCATTTCTTCTACTTTGGGTGTTTCAAGTCATCCACAAAGAACTACTACTCTGGTGATTTTTTTTTTTCCTGCTGAAGAGTTCCTGTTTTATTTAGAGTCAGCTGTAAGAAAGTGGCACCACTCAAGCCGCCTCAAATAATGGGGTTTGTTTTGAGGCTCTACATGGTAGTGAGAGGCTGGAACTTCCCTGAACTTGGGGGCAGCCCTTACTTGGGGCCTGGGGCAGCGCTGGAGTGTGGGAGCTGTCGCCCCTCTGTGGCAGGAGGCTGTGAGTTCTGCCCTGGGTTCTGGTCAGCACCACCATGGTTTCTCAGCCAGTGGGGACTCTGTTTATGTCTCCTCATTTCCCCCCATGCTTCCAAGGGGCCGCTTCGGTCTGTACTTTCGGGTCATGCCTCTGCAGGAGAGACTCTGATTGGCCAAGTGAAATACCATTGTCCTGTGAGACAGAGCCTTGTTCATTTAGCTGTTGAACAAATATCTGAGCGCCCAATGGGAGCCAGGCCCACGATGATGGACCAGTAGACCCCGATTCTTATTGGAGCTTATGGTATAGCGGGGGGAGTTGTCAACTGACTACCCCACATGCAACAGTATTCACATCCTACCCACATGGCTGCAAAAGTGTGACGGGCCGGTCCTGTGCCTGGAGGGATCTGTGGTGCTCTAAGAATGTATAGCGGATAATGATGTAGGAACATTAGGGACGACTTTACAGAGCTATGACTTTCAAGCTGTGATCTAAAGGGTCGGTTAGAGGAGGATGAGCCAGGGAAGTCAGAAGAAGCCAGGAGAGTATGTAGAGTCCCGCAGCCATTGGATGGTGTGTGCAAGTCGAGTCGGTTGCACTTAGGACCCCGGAGGTCTGTGGTGACATCGACATCACCGTCTTAGTGAGTAATGGAGATGCAACCAGGTGATAATGAAACGAGGGGCGGAGTCGAGACAGTTCTGGACAACTGTCCGGAGGTTTGCCTGTGAAGGTGACACGGGAGTGTGCAGCCAGCGAAGGGTTTTGTTTAATTTCGTTCCTTAGGTGAGCAACACATTTGCTTGTTTGCAGGTTGAAGGGAAAGGTTGAGAGAGGTTGACTATTTTATATGAGAAAACACTGGAATGGGCAGTCGCATAAGGGCTGCTGGAAGAGGACCCTGAAGCATAATTGTCGGGTTGGCCCTCTCTGGAAGGAGGGAGTGCTCCCTGCTCTAACGAGAGAAGAGGGGAGCGGGGGCAGCGACCATGGACTTCTGCCTTCGGTGGCAGGAGGTGGGGGGCGGGGGCTCATGGACTTGGCTTCTGTGTGTGTGAAGTAGGAGGCACTGTTTTCTGCCAAGTCAGGCAGGAGCCAGGGAACTCAGAGGCTGGAAAAGCACAGGTCTTTGAAGTTCTCATTACGGAGTGTGGGAGGGAAGTCGATCGGAGAAAACAGTGGCTTTCCCGGGGGCACCAAGAGTCCAGATGAAGTTCGCGGTCATAGCAGGGCATTGTTTGCTTCTCCCGTGACGTCTGTAGATGCTTCTGCTACAGGGGTGACTCAGGCCACCTCTGAAGGTGCCCCAGAACATACGTAAGTGGTGCCCTAAATGTGCAGCTTATAGCAAGCTACAAATAAGTCTTGAAAATAACAGTCCATATTAGTAACACAAGAGTACTTTGAAATAAATGTTAAGTACATTTTCTTATATTGATGTAATACCTGAAGCATACCAAAGTAACGACTTAACAGAAACGCAAGACTGAAAACTTCCCACATTTCTGTCAACCACGTTTTCTTTATTCATCCATCAGTGGACACTTACGTTGTTTCCTGTCTTGGCTATCATAAATAATGCTGCAGCGAACATGGGGTGCAGATATCTTTTTGACTTAGTGTTTTCATTTTCTTCAGATAAATACCCAGAAGTGGAATTGCTCAGTCGTATGGTAGTCCTATTTTTAATTTTTTTTTTTTTTTTGGAACCTCCATACTATTTTCTACAGCCTGGCTGCACCAGTTTGCATTCCCACCAACAGTGCCAAGGATTCCCCTTTCTCCACATCCTTGCCAACATTTGTTATTTTTTGTCTGATAGTAGCCATTCTAACAAGTGTGAGGTGATATCTCATTGTGATTTTGATGATGAGTGATGTTGAGCTCGTGTACCTGTTCATGAGTGATGATGAGTTCATGTACCTGTTGGCCATCTGTATGTCTTCTTTGGAAAAGGTCTATTTAGACCCCTTGCCCATCTTTTAATCAGAATTCCTTTTGCTATTGAGTTCTGTGAGTTCTTTATATATGTTGGATATTAACCCCTTGGGATATATGATGTTTCTATCTTCTCCCATTCAGTAGGTTGCTTTTTCACTTTGTCGATGGTTTCCTTTGGTGTGCAGAAGTTTTTTAGTTTGATGTAGACCCACTCGTTTATTTCTGCTTTTGTTGCCGTTGCTTTCGGTGTCAGATCCCAAAAATCATCACCAAGAACTGATGTCAAGGAGTTTACTGTCTCTTTTCTTTTCTAGGAATTTTATGGATTCAGGTCTTACATTTAAGTTTTTCATCCATTTTGAGTTAATTTTTGTATATGGTGTTAGAAAGTGGTTCAGTTTCACTCTTCTGCATGTGGCTGTCCACTTTTCCCCAACACCATTTATTGAAGAGATTGTCCTTTCCTCATTGTATATTTATTGTATACAATTGTATACAATACATTGTATATTTCCTCTGTCGTAAATTAATTGACCCCCTATCTGTGGATTTATTTCTGCGTTCTCTATTCTGTCCCATTGATCTGTTTTTATGCCAATACCATACTGTTTTGATTA